GCTCAAAGATGGCAGTAAGGTTGTCAGCCTTACGCGCTGGCCGCGCTTTTCTCCCAAGGAAAATTATTTAATTAATTCATGGTACTCATTTCTGTTAGAGGCTGAGTCGACCCCAGGGCCATGGTGTGGCCAGAAGGATTAGGTCAATTGAAAAAAATCCAATGACCTCATTGGGACTTGAACCCACGACCTTCCGGCTTGTAGCACAGCACCTCAATCAACTACGCTACTGCGCGCTCCCGTAATATGCATCTATTTTATTTAAATTTTCCATGTCAGAAAGATTGCCTCTGAACTAGTTCCTGCATAAGAAAAGAGGTCTGGAGCTGTATGGTCTCAGTTCTGAAAGTGTCATCACATAATCAATGAAAATAAACGTACAGAGGTAGCTGCAGCTGTGGATGCACAGCTGATGTTCTGTGTTCTATTTAGGTTCCACACTCTGCATCATTATTTGCAGGCAATGTACTCAAACCCAGAATCTACAGGAAGTAATACCAGACAGGTAAATGAACTTAAATTTTACCATATGATTAATATTATAGTTCACAGATCATTTCATTAACATGAACTGAGGTAAAAAATAAGTACAATTAACTTGATCATCTAAAGGTTTATGGCAGTGGTTAATTTACTGTACCAGTATTATGTTAGACATTTTTTATTTTCTGGACATATACAGCATTTGGGGAGCTGTGTTCACACCCCTACCATCGGGTTATTATTTTACTCAGAATTTTTATTACTTTTTTATTTGAGGGAAGCAGTACTATGATGAAGGAATGGAACAAAACAAACATATTAAAAATTATTGTGACCCCAGAATACATAGGAAAGGGAAAAATCAGCAGATAAATGATCTTATGCATACTCAGAATGAAAATATGGAACCTAAAAATAAAATTCCAACTATAATTAATGGCTATGTTTCAGAAACTAGGGACTTTAATATTGCTTTCAAGAACAATGAAGCATCTCTTACCCAAAGTGCTTTAAATAATTTGTATGCTAAATTGTTAGATGATAGATCTAGTATTCCTAACTGCAAGAAACACAAAGTACTGCTTATAGGAGATAGTCATTTAAGAGGGTATTCTGCAAATATAAAAACTTATCTGAATGACCAGTTCCAAGTAAGTAGTTTTATCAAATCTGGAGTGGAAACAAAGAGTATATTAGAACAAATGACTAATGAGATTAATAAGTTTTTATCTAGTGATTTTATTATTCTTTCCTCTGGATCTAATGACATAGGCAGAGTTAAATTAAGTGAGGTTTTTAGCGATTTAATTGATTTTATCAAGAGAGCCACTCACACAAAGATTGTTTTATTAACAATTCCTACTAGACATGACTTAGAAGGTGCTAATAGCAGTATTAATATTGAGATTACCAAATTTAATAGAAGATTAATTAAATTGGGTAAACTGTTCTCTCATCTTAGTGTTCTTGAAATAGATGAAAATAGGCATTATTGTATTGAACATGGGCTTCACTTGAATGGCCGAGAAAAAAGATGGTTTCTCTTAATCTGGCTGATCTTATTTTTCCCCTATAAAAAAGACAAGTAATTCTAGCAGCAATATTATACCAGTTGGCTATTATGAGCTTCAAGCCCAGTTAATTAGTCATTCTTCTAATGCCAATCATACTTTACCACGGAATACTGATGAAGGTAACAAGACTAAATGTATTAGAAAAAAGCCGGTAACAAAAACAGATGATTTTTTATGGGAAAGTTAAACCCAACTAGTATTTTTAGTAACCAAGATTACTGTAATTTATCATACTTAAATAGATTGAATAGCAAAAGTGGTAAATCATGTGTCTCAACAGATTTTTTAAATATCTATCATCAGAATATCTGTGGTTTGAAATCTAAAATTAATGAACTGCTAAGTTTCTTATACCATGAGTTACCACATATCATTTGTATTAGTGAGCACCATCTAAAGTATGCCAAAATTTATAACACTGTAATGGAAAATTATGTGGTTGGGGCCAGTTTATGTCGTAATAATGCTATGAAAGGTGGAACATGTATATTTATTCCCAACTACATAAAATTTGTTGCTGTAAATCTTGATAAATATTGTGTAGAATTTGATAAGGAACTTTGTGCAGTAAAAATTTGACATGAACCATCATACGTTTATATTTTATCTGTGTATAGAGCCCCCTCTGGTAATTTTAGTAATTTTATACTCAAAATGGATGAGGTGCTCAAATCATTATACACATCAAAAACTGAATTCATTATATGTGGTGATTTCAATATTGATTACCTCACTGATAATCATAAAAAGAATCAACTCAATTCCCTATTAAACTCTTATAATCTCTTTAGTACTGTTAACTTCCCTACTAGAATAACCAATACTTCTAAATCAACTATGTATAATGGTATGTCTGATCATGATGCGCAATTAATATTGATCCATGATATTACTATGCCCCTTCATGTTAAATGTTTACGAATGATAAGAAAAATTGACAAATATTCCTTGTTAAATTTTAATTATAATCTTAGTAATGAACTTTGGAATGAAGTATTTGATAATAATGAAGTAAACGCTGTTTTAAACGCATTCTTAAACATTTTCTTAAGACACTTTTGTAGTAGTTTTCCCAAATGTCTCACTACACTCCATACTAATACTAAAGTATGGACATCATCTAGTATAAAAACTAAATGTAGAATAAAAAGACATTTGTATTTAAGCTGTAAGTAGAGTAATAACCCTAATATACAAAGTTACTATAAGCTATTCTGTAAAGATTTATCTAGAAATATTATGGAAGCCAAACGTTCATATTACGATCAACTAATTATAAACTCCAATAATAGAACTAAAACCACTTGGAATATTGTTAAATCATTGACCGGGAGGAAACCCTATCATGAAAGTATTCCAAACTTGAGTGCTCATGAGAGATAATATATAAATACTAAAGTGATTGCCGAATCCTTCAATAAATATTTTTTATCAATAGCGGAGACCATTACCAAAAATACACTAAAAAATTGTGATACATTTGACATATGTAATAAGGCTAATGAATATTTAACTGATATATTTACAACTACTTTCCCTCCAATCAATTATAGTTATGTTATTATATGAAATTGAAAAAAATTATAGACAAATTGAAAATGACCAATTCTACTGGGTATGATGAGATCCCTATCAAAGTATTAAAAAGTTGTAAACCCTTTATTATTTCATCCTTAACATACACAACAAATAGATCGTTAGCTACCGGTATATTTCCTGATAGGCTAAAATTCTCCGAGATAAAACCTATATATAAAAACGGTGATAAAAATCTTATCAATAATTATAGGCCTATATCCTTATTGACTTCCTTTTCGAAGATATTTTAGAGAGTGGTGTTTGTAAGACTTTGTCATCATTTGACTATCAACAATGTTTTAGCCAATGAACAGTTTGGATTTCGAATGAATTTTTCCACTGAAAAGGCCATTAATAGATTGCTTGATCTGACCTTAACTGCCCTAAATGCTGGCCATAATGTGGGTGAAATTTTTTGTGATTTGAAAAAGGCCTTTGATTGTGTCAATCACAAGATTTTACTATCTCAGTTGGAATTCTATGGTATTATGGGTCCGACACACAAATGAATAGCATCTTATCTTAAAGGAAGGTTTCAGAGAATTAAATTACAAGGTAATGATAGTAACCTAAATACCTATTCAAATTGGGGCTTAATATCCCATGGTGTCACGCAGGGATCCATTTTGGGTCCCCTGTTATTCTTGATCTATATTAATAATTTGCCTCTAGTATTAAATAGGATTTCCTATCCTATCCTCTTTGCTGATGATACTAGTGTGATTATATCCAATTCAGATCCTCTTACTTTTCCTTTTCCTGCATAGTGTGACCGAAATTCTCAATAAATTTAAATTATGGTTTAATGCTAATTTATTGTTCTTAAACTTTTCTAAAACTGAATTTGTCAAGTTTAATACAAAAAAAATATGCATGAACATGAGATAAAGATAGTATATGATAACATGGAAATACCCAACTCAACCCATTTAAAGTTCTTAGGAGTTAATATTGCAAATACTCTGACTTAGAAAACTCGTATTGACTCACTTATCCCAAAATGTAGCTCTGTGTCCTATGCAATCCGAGTCATAAAACCATTTGTGAATCAGGAAAATTTGCTGATGGTTTATTATGCCTATTTTCACTCTATTATTCGATATGGAATTATTTTTTGGGGTAACTCTTCGTACGCCATCAATATCTTTCATTTGCAAAAGAGGGCGGTGAGACTAATAACTGGTGCTGGTAACAGAAAGTCATGTAAACCGATATTCACTACTCTAAAAATTCTTACTCTTTCATCTTTGTCTATTTATTCACTACTATCTTTTGTGGTCGATAGCATGGATCAATATGATTTTGTATCTGATATACATAATAGAGACACTAGACAGGTACTCAACCTAAATCTATATCAACCCTCAACTCGTTTATCATTATATCAAAAAGGCTCATATTATATGGGCATCAAACTATTCAATTGTCTCCCACTAAATTTGAAGCAATTATATAAAGATATTAAACGGTTTAAATTAAAATTAAAAGAATTCTTGAGTTGTCACCCATTTCATACTGTGGATGAATTTTTTGTGTATACTAGTCGGTAAGATTAATTGTATTCTGGTTCTATTCTTATGTCTTGACTTAGTTCTTTGTACTGCTTATTTATCTAGTATGACTTTTCCACATCCTGAAGTGTTGGATTTTGTGGACGTAATGGATGAGTAATGAGGATGAAATGGGAGCTTGTACTGACGCCTCAAACCTTTGAGAGTTCTATAATAAGATGTCTTGCTTCTGCGTTGTTTTTGTAAATTTGGGGAGTCTTGTTGTACTCGTATATATGGTTGATATGTTCTTTTTTATTTGTTTTGTGTTATGAATGCCTTGACTTGTTCCTGTGGGAATGGAATGTTTCTTTTTTGATCTGTGACTCATTCTATATCCAATGGTTGTTTCCCAGCCTGTATCTGGATCTATTTTTGAATTTGAAATAGACTGAATTGGATGGAATTGATTGATTAATAACAGTGCCTGAGGTAAAACCCAGGCTTTTTGAATACCAGAATTCTACATTTACCAATACACGGGTGGTAATAGTCTCATATTTAAAATGTCCTGGGTTCAGCCTCAACCATTGACACTGTCTTAATCTGTCAATGTAATGATGATGAGTCCCTTGAAAACAGCTCTGGTACATCAGATATACTCAGACAATGGGCCTGTTCCTACCTTCATGCCAGCATAACCTGAACATGATGCACACTGTCTTCAGCACAAGTGACCAAACATTGAAGGTACAGCCATTAAATATTCTGTAAAAGAAATATCAGTATTTGGATTAGGTTAGATTTAAGTATAGTTTTTAGGTTTTGATTTGAACTGTTTGATATGTTGACTTGTATAGCTGAGGTAGCCATTAAAAGAGGGTGCACAATCCTTGTGTATGAGAGAGCAGTCTCATATGGTAGTAAACATTTTAATGAGTCTTTTTAATTCAAGATATTCCAGTGTCAGTTCCATCTGTAATCCCATGGTAATAGCTATAATGCATGATAGACATTGTCATTTTAAAATGGTCATGCCATTCACTGGTAACAGACATGTAAAAGCACCTAGGATTTGCTCTTAATTCCCATAAAAACTTGGGTTATCATTTGTACATTTTTATGTGGTTCTCTTTTGTTTTCTTTTGTCATATTTCATATGTAGAATAAATATAAAAATAAACATCATTAACAATCACATTTCCTGGGTCCCCCTTTACAGTACAGGCCCACAATGATGTGCAGAATGCAGCAGCCCCAGAGGGAAGCATGGGGTGCAGCAGCATCACAGGGAAGTGAAGAATGCAGAAGCTCCACAGGGAAGTGCAGAATGCAGCAGCCCCACAGGGAAGCACAGGGTGTAGCAGCCCCAAAGGAATGTACACCATGAAACTGCTGCTCAATCAATGTAAGTTTTTAAAAGTATGAAATCTGCATACACTAAGTCCTGTCCATTCCATAACGTGATACTGGCAACTTCACATGTGAATCGCATATCACTTAAAATACCAAATAAGAATGAGTGACTCATGAAATTAAACGTGTACAAATAATCTCTACAAATTCCATAAGTTGCTTCAATAATACATGATTACAGGCACTGATCCCACATACAGCCTCACCAGGATTTTAAAAACCCTTGCCCTGCATACATGTGGTGCAGCAACCCTGTGAATGGACAATGTTACTAGACCTTCACGTGAACATCAGTGATATGAGCAGTTGCAAACTCAGGCAGTTAGAATACAGCTAGGAATCACATGGTAGAACAGATCATACAATAGGCAATAAATCTGACCAACTGTCAGCCAATGCCGCTTCAAAATGGACTGTGCTGAGAGCTGATGAAGGAGATCATTAAATCTTGGTAGGATTGGAAGACTCAGAAGTTAGCACTATTTGAAAATATAAAACTGAGGAATCACTTATATTTTTACTGCAGTGAAACAAATTCTGTGTACATTACAGGCAATGCTGTAGTGAATTTAACTGTTCAATTGCCGAAGTTTGAGCCACATTTGATGCTTTGTCAACATTTTCCTGCTGTAGAGTTGGGGTTAGAAAAGGATAAGTCATGGCAGTAAACATATTCACAGCAGAACAGGAGTTCCTTCAACTTCGTGGTAAATATCACTGATAAAAGGCAAGCTGGTAAAAATACAGTGACTGGATCTGAAGATCTGAAGATCTGAAGATGGCTAAGCCTTCACTTCATCTCCAGTTTGTACTGCAAGCTAAACCCTATGTTAACAACCACAAGGGCAAAGGATCCAGATACCTTGCAGAAGGTCTACTTCAGTAATGGAAGATTGAATTTTTATTGAAAGAAGAAATATAATGGAAGGAATTCCCCCCCCCAGAAGCTGTAAGCCAGCGGGGTGTTCCTACTCTGCACATCCAGGTTGAGACCGGATCAGTCCAATCCCTAGTAGCAAATGGTTTGAAGGGATCCAAGACAACTTGTGTAGCCCAAATGTGCTTTCCTTTAAGTGAATGGCTGGGTTCATATTAGGCATTTCTTTGGACACCTACATAGGCATCCTGTGGTTGTCTTTCTGCCACATTCTCAAAACTTCAATAGGGCATAAACCTGAACCTGTAACTTGTAAATGCCAACCTCATCCTCATATGGTGCATTCAGCTTTCATAAGCAAGAACTTGAAGACCAAGTCGGTAAGTTATTGTCATTATATTTGGCATGGAGAAGTGCCAGTACCAAAATACAGAGGAAGATATAAATGTTGTGTTTAGATTGGCTCACTTGTAACCACTGCAACAGAGCAGACTTTGAATCTTGCCGGGGTAGATTACTGAAATTCTTCTAGTTCATGGCACATCAGGTGACTCGGTCATAATTTTCTTCTTTAGATAAAACAGATCCTCAGTTTTGCCATGAACTTGTTTCTTTTTGTGTGTAGTTAATATACAAAGTTTTGCCTGATGGATGGTATTGCAGTAATGGTTTTGCCATATAAGGCATTTTTACAATTAGTTATATGAAACAAGTCATGACACTGAACTATAGAAAATGGAAAAGAGAAGTAAAAATTTATAACAGTCTTTTCCAGACATAAGAAAGTCCTATCGGCATTTAAGGTGGCATTTGTATGTGAACAGATGTCATGTGAAGTAGTACAAAGAAGTGTTTGGTCTGATGATACTACTCTGAATTTGTGTGCCTCAACTGAAGGTAAAAGGAATGATAAAAGGAAGAGCAGTGGATAAATAGAGCTTGCAATTGATCAGTTTCCTAAGGGCCACACTAAAATTTGTTAAAATGGAAATGTAGGGAGAGGAGATATTTTCAAACCAATAGTTGAGAATGAGACTTCATATGAAACTACTAATGATGAAGATTGATTAATAAACTATACCACATCCAAAAAAGTGAGTCAAGAGTGCAATATTCATACATCACAACATTCAAAAATTCACTTGGATGTCACCCGGTGGTAACACAAATTGATCACAGAGCATTACTGCATTTTTTGGACTTTGTCCAATGTCCAGTATTCTAAGAAACTAGAGAACACAACGTTTTGGGAAGTGGATTTGTTTCCATCCTCAGATGAGGGGGTGACACCTACTCTGGTGGGTCCCTTAGAGAAAGACTAAGGTTACTTCTTCCTAAAGGACCCAACAGAGGTGTTTCCCCCCTTCACTTGAGGATGGAAATAGCTCCACTTTCCAAAATGTTGTGTTCTCTAGTATTTTATAATAAAGACGATGGACAAAGTCCAAAAACTCAGTAAATCTTAGTGTTATACACCACTGTCAGAACCCTTTAGAATCTGGACTGATCACAGTTGGATACATAGGAGACCATATTCAAGTGCACTTGATGCCTGATCTTTCTGCAGAGCTGACTGCTAATAACAACAACTGTCTACTGTTGCAAAAGTTTCGCAAGCACATCTCTGATTTCCACCTGCTTCTTGCTCATCAATTTAAACCTCAAGATGGAGGCAGTGTATTCCTGTAAAATGTCAATGAACTTCTACCATCCTACAAGGCATCACATCCCAGACAGTAGAACAGTACTCTTCATGTCCTACAGTTAAATTTAAAGCAGTCTGACCTTCCTTTGTTAATGAACACAGACTGCCTGAAATTTTACACACTTCATGTATGCTTAATAAAAAGAAAATGTAAATGATTTTGTGTTGGTTAGTAACAGTTATCATCGTGGAACTCATATGGTATATACGAAGTTGAGTGACAATTTACAGATACACTGTTTCTGTCATCTGGAACCATGCTTTGTTTTTGACTTGCACTGTGCTTCAGTTGAACGCTCAGCAGTCCAATTGTACAGCTCAACAGAGTTTGCTGTGCACAACCATAAATGACTTGTTCCTAAATATGATTTTAAAACAACAGAACAGTTATCTCATCTTGGTGCTTATTCACTTATATCTCACTTACTGTCTACCTACCATACAACTGCAACATACTCGAGGACTGCTAGTCTGCACAATGTGCTGGTTATTCATACCAACACCAGGTAAGTCACAAAATATTTGGCACTGTGGTATAATTCATTCTAACAAAGAGAACACCAGTGAATATTAGCACACTTCCTTAAATGAAATGCTTTAAGTCCAAAGAAGTGGATGGCATTTCCATGCGAAAGCTGAGGAAAATGGACTCAAATATTGACATACAATGGTTTCCTTCTCCTTCGTGATTTATGTAACCGTGCCACAGTTCAGGCAATTAGGCACTGGCTTCTCATTGCAGGGCCCCCAGTTCATTCCTGGATGATCTTATACAAGATTCATGGTGAACAAAGTGGCACTGAAGCAGGTTCTCATCCAAGTTCTTAGTTTTCCTTCCATGAACCATCACCCCCTGAGATGTATGATGACACTTAACCAGGCAGCACATTATCACATCCTTAGTCTTGAAGTTTGGGGCTTCATCTCTGAACTGACATTTGGTTGGGCACAGAGAAAGGAAGTGACATTTCATAAGTTTATGTGGTATGAGAGGCTAGACATCCGACAATAAAACACCTCCTCCAATTACAACTTCATCTTCTGTTTTCACAAACAAGGTCTGGAAGTATAACCACTACATATGGCATGGGCAAAAACTAGCTAATTCTGGAAGAACCGAGTCTTGGCTGTATAACCACTATATCTGGCATCAAAGAAATATCAGTACAAAAATTTATATTCTTAGTTTAAGTTTCATTTTTAAGTTTTCGTTTAATATGTGGACAGTTATGTATATTCAGGGAGCTGAATCAACTTCCCACTCATGTATTAAGGTAGACTATTATTGCACTATCTGTGTACTGTGTGTGCAGTGATATTTGCACTGACGATGTGCGGTTATAAATCTCTAAATCAGAATGACTTAAATAAAAGTTCAGTAAAGAAAACAAAAGGGGGGGGATACCTTTGTCTTTACCTGCCAATCCTCAGTACCCAGCTCAGCACTCCTAAGCCATGTGACAAGCCTGATAAGCAAGCACATTACCAGAATGAGCTCAACTGTGACTGCCTGCAACCTTACATTTGGCTGGACCTCTAGAACTATATTGCTCATGATATCAAAATCACAGTGAAGACCTGATGGGAAGAAATCTGTGACTTCTGCCTTAGGCACTGAAAATGTCTTCTTTCAGATACAGACTATACAGTGGCAAAACCTGACATTATAAATACCGACATCTAATAATTCTTTTAAATCCACAGCAGTCACTTCCATTCAGTTCTGAAGCCAAGGTATGGCCTCAGAAACAGAAGGGACATACAGGAGCCTGCGTGACCTTCCTCTGCGCACAGCAATTCACATGGAACACTGACAGAATGTGGGCATTTTCAGGGAACCAAACTGTGCACTATGTACCACTCAGATATAAACATTGTGACTGTTATGCAAATTGAAGGGTTCAAGAATGTTTTCCTGGACACATGGGGCTCACATGTGCTTAATTAGTACAATGAAAAGTCTTTGAACTAGGGAAGTATTTTATGAAAGTTGTTCAGCATAAGTCTTCATTTGTAAGCTGCACTATGAGTGAATAAATGTAAAATATCGAATTTTATAATGTTTGAAAATGTAAACTTGAAAATTATGTCAATGAGCATCAGAACACCACTTCACAAGATGGCATCCCTTCAGAAGTCACCAGCAGTACCATAGAAAGTTGTCCATTGGCAACACTGGCATTAAGGAGCTGTCAGATGGAGGCACGATGACTGTGCACGTCTCTGCACATGTTTTCTTTTGTTTCCTGCTGGAGTCCAAGAGGCTGCAATGGGAGTAGGTGTGAAATCTTTCCAGGAGAGCGGCGCACTGTGTATCGGTGCTTGGCTTGTTCAGCTGGTCCTGGGTAGCAACTACAGCTACAACTACAAACGGAAGCACCATCCTCCAATGAATTAGAGTCCCCACCTCCAAGCTGACCACTGATGATAGACCCATTTGCTGTGATAACATCACCCTCCAGTCTCACTGCACCTTGTGCTGCCTGCAACAGAGTTCATAAGAACCAGCTGCAGAGACACTGGTAGGTAATAAGGAAACAGTACAGGTGCCAGAGTCTAGTGAACCTGTAAGCCCCAATTTGCACTTATTTTTATACTTTTCATCCTTTTATGTATAACTGTTACTCGTACTGGGGCCATAAACACAACAATAAGTGAGTTAGTTATAGTTTTAAAAATGATTGGATTTATGTGTGTGTGTGTGTGTGTGTGTATATATACATATATATAACAGTCAGTTTATTAGAGCTGTCACACTACATGTTTCAGCCAAGACACCATCATCAGGTTTGCTGGGGTTTTGAACTTTTTCCATCATCCAGGATGCTAGGTAATAGAGGACACGATATTTCGGAAACTGGATCTGTTTCCATCTGCAGGTGAGAAAGGAAGACACCTACTCAGTTGGGCCCCTTAGAAAGAGCTAATCTCAATCACTGGACAACTCCTGTCAGATTTACCCAGCCAATGGAACTCACTATAGGCCTCAGAGGAATGTACGGTTTGTGGCTCTTGGGAAGACCATATAAATGCGGAGGTTTATTGTGGTTTATTGTATTTAAGATCAGTGGAGAGAGTAGTTTTGTGCTTGGAAAAAAGTTTTACAGCTAAAATTAAGAGAAAAATGCAAAAACTCCTTTCTAAGCACAAAACTACTCTCCCTATTGATCTTAAACACAACTTGACTCCCCACCAGAGCAAACCTCTGCATTTATATGGTCTTCCCAAGATCTATAAACCGGACATTCCTCTGAGGCCTACAGTGAGTTTCATTGGTTCCCCTTGCTATGCCCTGGCTGGCTTTATCCATAAGATACTAATTCCTCTTGCTGGAAAATCTGGATCCTTCATTAAGAATTCAGGCCACTTTGTACAGCTGGTGAAGTCTGTTAATCTTCAATCCTCAGATACCCTCATTACCTTTGACATCGCCAGTCTCTTCACCAATGTTCTAGTCGATGAAGTCCTACAAGTCATCAGAAATAAGCTCCACAATGATGACACACTGGCAGAACGGTCTGCCCTGCAGATAGAAGACATCATGGAGCTGCTGGAGGTTTGCCTGAGAACCACATATTGTCAGTTGGACAACAAGTTCTTCCAACAGAAAGATGGTATGACTATGGGAAGCTCCTTATCACCCATTGTGAGCAACATCTTCATGAAGCATTTTTGGAAACTGACTCTTGAATCGGATCAACATAAATCGTCGCTGTGGCTCCAGTATGTTGATGACAAGTTTGTGGTCTGGCCTCATGGTCCAGAGCAGTTACAGGATTTCCTCAGCCACCTCAACAGTTTAAGGCCGTCCATCCAGTTCACCATGGAAACAGAATCAGACAGTGCAATTTCCTTTCTTAATGTGCTGGTCAGCAGGAAAAAGATGATACTAGTCACAAAAGCCTATAGGAAACCCATCCACATTGGCCAGTACCTCAACATCAACTCTAACCATTCACCCCATGTGAAAAGAGGTTTGATTCAGAGTCTGCACAACAGAGCTTCCACCATATGACAAGAGCGAAAAGACCTGGTTAAGGAAATCAGCAGCCTGAGAAGTGATCTCCAGCTCAACAGTTATCTGCAAGGTTTCACTGACTCAGTCATTAACTCCAAGGGTAGCAGTTGTCAAAATAAAGAGCAAAAGCCCCCGGGCTCTGTTTACATCCCATATGTGAAGGGCGTTTCTAAAAAGTTCAAACATATAGGGAATCGATACAAAATCAGGACGATCTTCAGAACTAAACACACTCTTAAAGAGTTCATTCATGAGAACAAGGCCGGAAAGACATCCGCAACAGACAGCACAGTGCATCTACAGTATTCCCTGTGAGTGTGAAAGAAGCTATATTGTTGAAATAGTGAGACCTCTAGCCATGCGGCTCCATGAACATAGGCACAACCTACAACAGGGTTTTCTGGAAAAATCAAAATTAGCCCAACATGACTATGAAGAGGGTCACAGAGTAGGCTGGGATGATACCAGGATTTTGGAAATTGAAAGTAACAGCAGATACAGGAAGTATAAAGAATCGGCCCATATGGCATGCTTAACCAAACCAATCAGCCAACCCAGTTTGGACATTTCTCCTATTTGGATACCACTCTTCAACAAGGAGGTTTCTAACTCACAAGGAAGATCTGTATTATGCGACAGACTTCATGCGTTTCCACAAAGTTCCAGTCTCAAGTATTCAGGTTACTCCATAGATGGCACTAGTGGTCTTCACAATCTCCCTCCCCCCATTTCTTCAAATTGGTGCTCATGCACTTGATTTTTTTGTCAGATATGTTTCTAGCACAAATTTCTGCCTCCTTTTCTATCCTAGTTCCACACATGTGCGTGCTCTATCACAATTTTTATTTCATAGATTCTTGTTATCACCCACTGAACTAGTCTCATTCGATATGTTCAAATAGCTGGGTAAATCTAACAGGAGTTGTCCAGTGATTGAGATTAGCTCTTTCTAAGGGGCCCAACTGAGTAGGTGTCTTCCTTCCTCACCCGAAGACGAAAACAGATCCAGTTTCCGAAAAGTCGTGTCCTCTATTACCTAGAATCCTGGATGATGGAATAGGTCCAAAACCCTAGTAATCCTGTGTCATCCACCATCCTGAGAACCCCTTCGAATTTACCATCAGGTGCATATAAATATAACACATTACTGCAGAACTGTATGGTTAAATGGATCAATTTTCAAAATGTCAAACAATTTTTCACGTGTTGTACAAATACAAATAATCCTTCCAGCTGCATCATGGTCCTGGGGTCAACTCAGACTCTAAAGCCTCTAAAGAAATAAGTACCAGCATTCTTCCTGGGGAGTAAAGGGTGGCCGGCGCATAAGGCTGACAACCTCACCGGCATCTGTGAGCCGACTGTCTAGAAAATATGTGGGAACCTCGACGTCTCACAACCCTTCGGGCCTTCAGGGCCTGTGTCTCACAACCCTTTGGGCCATAAGGGCCTGTTACAGGGCTAGCTTTACCTTTTACCTTTTTCACAAATATAAATATTTAAACTACTATTGAATATGAAATACATATATACCTCAGTCATTCCTTAATACTATAATCAGCCATATCTCTAACACACCAGAGCAGCTATTTACAGAAACTTCACAAGTTAACAGCAACAACATATTTTACTATGTATAAACCACCACATCCAACAAACCAATAATATATGACTTCATCTCTACTCCTATATACAATCTTAAAACATGAAACACTCATCAAAACTTCAAAAAACTTTAATTGCTATATATTGTAACGTGTTTTGCTACTGAAGACGCCGTTTGGATTGTTAATTGGTTTATTTAACAACCTACAAGTCGTAGCTACAATTAATTATAACACTGTTGCGGGTTTACAAAATTTACAAACCCTACACACTATTCTATTCACTCTATCCTCAGCAGTCTTCATGTATTTATAACACGGGAGCTATACAAGTCTCTGTGAATTACACACTCCCAATATAACTGTTCTACAGCACACACAGAGTCTTTAAGTCACACAACCACATAAGATCTTCTAACCACGTGTTCAGGTTTTCTTTCCGCGACTGCTTCTATATTTCAACTGTCTTCAGCGGCTGCTACGTTTTAACTGTCTTCTTAGGCAGTGTAGTTCTCTTATAAACCCTCAGCCAGACAACGGCAAAACGCCTCGCTTCCTTGTTGCCTAGTCGCTGTGTTTACAGGTGTTGCTGGGCAACGCTGTTGAAAGTTGTTTACTGCTACATAGCAACCGCGGCACCCCCCGCTACGTCACCGTGGGGGACGGGGGCGGAGTGTTGACGTGCCTGTTACTGTAGTAGAGACAGCGTCCGATGTTGTTACGTCACCGCTGGCGGGGGAGGGGATGTCCTCCATAGCGCAATACGTCACAATATTTATATACCATGTTGCAACAACATATGCAAGATCTTTCATCCATTCAATATAACACATCCATCATACCCCATAACGTCTCTCATACATACAGTGTTTCAGCAACATCTAGAAGAATTTGAAGCTAACAGGATATTAATATCATGTCATTCTTATTACAAAAACAGATACACATGATACAAAAACCAATCCTACAACCATATATCACCTCCTTTCCCTCCTACAAACTATTACAACATTACAAAACTACCACTATCCATGTTTATATACTTTATGTTTTATAATATTATACTGCAGCAGCCTGTTGCACTGTGTGCTCTAAACTAGCACTTGCACTTCACACCATCCCTGTGCAAAAATTGATGATCTATTAAATTTCACACTTTGAAAGCATCTGTCTCTTCCTATTCAGAACAGCTACACACAAAACTAAAGAGAAAATAACACACCAACAAAATATACACCAGACCCACATCATGTGCATACAACAAAATAATCATGGTATGGTATTTTAAAAATAATGTTAAAATAAAATGCAATATGTAGCAGTGTGGCAGTGGGGCAGCACTTTCCTCTACAACTTGTACACCTAATGATGGCAGCCAGTTGGGCCAAAACATGTAGGGTTCCAATAACGGGAAGAGATGAATGCTTTTAAGTGTGAATTTTAATAGATCAACGGAGTTGCACATGGACAGTGAGATGTGCAAATGCTATTTTATGTTTTACATTTGACAATAATCTGAATACTTATATTCATACCAAATCTTAAACAATTTTATAACACTTGGAATATGAATCCATTTAACTAACCATACAAGTCTTCAATGTGTTATATTTCTTTATTTATACACACCTGATTGTGTTGTACAGACTGAAACAAGTAGTGTAATAGTTAAACTAAACTAAGCGGCACTATGTGCCACAGCCACGGAAAACAACAAATGAGAGTGAGGCAGAAGAATTACTTATATTAGATACTGAATATGTATAGGGTTAATGATGTTAAGCAGACCGATATACAGAATGTCTGGATGCATAAAAAAATAATTACATCTCAGAAAACATTTATTATACACATTTATGGGTTACACAAGGGGAAACTAGCAAAGTTTCTTTCTGAGTATATAACTTTCACAGTAAATTTCAATGTGTGCTCCCTTGGTGGCATGACAAATATCCAGATCAAATTTGACTTCGTTCCATGTTGCTTGAAGCATTCTGCTATTACCGTAGCCACACTGTCCCTTATGTGAGCTTTCAGGTGTCAAAGGTCATTCATCTTAACCTGATAAACAATGTTCTTTGCATAATGCCACAAGAAAAAATCCATTGGGGTTAAATCTGGTGACCTAGGAGGCCAAGTGACTGGTCTACCTCTGCCGATGCATCATACGGCCATCTCTTTGTCCAGGTGGTTCCTAATATGGTGACAGAACTGTGATGGCACCCCATCTTCTTGCAGGATAGTTTGAAGTGGTAACTGGGGCAGGGCATACAGCTCCAGCATGTCAAGTACAACCGTCCATGCGGAGAAACAGGTGATGCATCAATTCTCTCTAGCAGGTCCACAGCGAAGACTGTGCATGCTACTTCATCACTTGGTTTTAGTGCATGGATCATTTGAATCTTGTAACTGAAAGCTAGCAGAATGAACTGATTTGCGTGGACTTTGCTGGAACGCCTCTCTAATGTCACTGATATTTTTTTCAGAGGTTCGTGTCTTTCCAGGGGATTTTGCATGCAACAGACTGCCTGTAGTCCTCAGCATTTGAAGAAACTTTCTCTACAAAAATAAGAGACTACCCAGGATGCTCAGCGACTGTGCACTTAAATTCTGGACTATGTTCATAAGTGGTTGAATATTTGAGAAAATTCGTTTTATAAACTCTGTGCCCCACTAAATCTCGATATGGATGTAATATTTAGGTTGCTGAATTTGTTGAATGTGAATGTGGATGGCGACCCATTATTTTCGGAGGTTTGTGACTCGAATGAAGTACCATCCTGTGTTAATGGATAACTTCAACCAAGTGTTCACTGACCAACAACAACAACAATAACAACAACAACAACAACACTGGCATGGCATATTAGAGGTCTCACAATATTTCTAACATCTGGGTTAACTGTTTCACGAGATGCAAAGCACCTTCTTTGCTCAGAATTCTTCCAACATGTTCTAGCTGCACCACTATCAAATGCTTTTGTGGAATGAGTGTTTAGTGTCATGCAAAATATTTTGAACAGCGACAGAAATCATCTTAAAGTTGAAATGGTAAAACACAGACTTCTAGTGCATTTCAAGTACAATATCAAATCCACTGAATTTACAAATCTTATTAAATTTGACAATGGAAAAGACCTTGGCGGAGTTGTTAAGACAGAGTTTTACAAATTCAAAATGTGATGCTGGCATGGCATATTAGAGGTCAGCAGTCTGCTGTTTAAAATAATTATTTTGATATTGTCACGTTTTATGGTGTGTGACTATACATGGGGTATGGATTGGTGAATGGATTTAATGTCGACATTAACACATGACTCATAATTACACTTCATAGATCACTGATATGCACAGACTACTGTCCTCAGTCTATTACAGTCTCCACTAGCCATTTCCTGGTAACAGATTCAACATGGTGAAGATTCTTCAGCTTTGTGTGTTCAGGTCCTCTTGTCACAGACCAGTGCAGAATTGTCAACCATCAACTCAACTAACTCGGTCCCAGGCTGGCAGACATTTCACATCAACCTCCTCATCTTCTCTTCACAGACTGATTTTCAACTCAAATGACAACTGAACGCTCTCACTCACCAACTGGCTACTTCAGGTCACTTCACTAAATGGAACTGTTGACAACTGACTACAGTTTGGCTGGTGTTCTCATCATATAACATCAGGATGGACCCAAGAGAATATTGTTTCTGTGAGAATGTGTTTACTGACCGTTGCTTATAAATGGGTGTTTGTTTATCTGCCTATTGTAAAACAACAGCTGTACTCATTGTCCATCTCAAGGTCTCTGCCCAGCAATGGATCTGTACACCACAATACCATTATACAACTTTTGCCTCTAGCCTTGTCATTTATGTTTATAAACTGCTATATTTTCACATTAAATCATATAGTTGTGTCATGTGAAATGAAACTCCTCGTATTCTTCTCAAAGTTTCACTAGAGCTCAAACGCACAGTCATTACAGAACTGGTTTTCAGCTTAAACGCAAATGAAAGCTCTAATAATGTTCTTTTATTTCAAATCAATGCCGGCTGCAGTATATGGGGAGTGACTGTCCTTCGGATATTTTACATGTGACACGTGGTAACCACGCTGAATATGTTTCAAGTGCAATTACATCTTACGGTTATCCTTCATAGACAGCCAGAAACAGTATGTGTATCTCGTTTCCATACATTTTTGTACTGAGATTAAATTTGTATGAGTAATTCGTGTTCATCTGTTACTTCAGTTATTCATAGACTTCAAAAAAGTCTAACACTCACTGTAGAATTACTATATAACATTCTCAATGAACCTGGTGTGCCCATAAAACTGGTCCTAATGAAACATATAAAAAAAGGTAAAGCTCTTGCTGTAACAGACCAGGAGTACAAGAGGTCGAGTCTCCCACATCTTATAGATAATTGGCTCACAGACGGTGGCAAGAGTGTCAGCCTTATGCACCGGCCAGCTGTCCTTTACACCCCAGGAAGATTCCTGGTACTCATTTCTGTTAGAGGCTAAGTCAACCCCAGGACCATATTGCAGCTGGAAGAATTAGGTAAATTGAAAACAATCAGTGACCTCATTGGGAATCGAACCTGCGACCTTCCGGCTTATAGCATAATGCCTCAACCAACTATGCTATCAGGTGGCCCCAATGAAACATATAGTATGAGTATATATGGGATTGGTATCATGTTTTATTGTCACAGCTTTTCAGCTTCTCTTTAGGAAGCACAAGGAAGGCCCATGAAAATTATGACAGATTGGATCTAAATGGTACACAGCTTGTTGTCTTTGCTGATGCTATTTACGGAGTGCAAACACAAATACTAAGAAGGAAATAAGAATCTGAAATGTGCATTCCACAACGCAGTACACAAAATTACTAGCACCATTCTTGGAGGTTTATTAACTTTACTTATAAATATAAATCATGAAATAAAAAAATTGGTTAAGCTTTCATATGAAATTTCAGCAAAACCTCTGGAGGGATTTATGGGATTCGTGGAATATCCCATTTATGGTATTATGGAAACGTCAAGTTTCATCCTGGATCGATACTGCTGAAACTGCAATAAAATTTTATGAAAGTCTCGCATACCGAATTTCAACAGCATGTCTAAAATGGATTGTGGAATACACCAAAAACCAATATATGACCTTACTTGAATCACGATTCCTTCTGGATCGGTATGGCTGAATAGTGACCTGCCTGATGACTGTCACTGAAAGCCTCTTATACCACATTTTAAGATCTGTGTATTGGTTTAGGCCAGTGGTACCAAAAGTGTGGGGTAATTCCCCTTGAGGGAGTTGGCATGTGTTTTTAATATGAAAAACTACTTTATAAGAAATATGCAGAAACATTTTTAAAACTTTCTGCTTTATTGGGGTAGTTTAGATGTCTTAAAGTATTGCAAAATTCAAACTCCTAGAGCATCAGCAGTTCTAGGAAGTAAACAGCAATATATGTATGTCTACGAACTGTTATGTTATTCTTTTTCCTCTCGCTCCCACTTTGGGGCATAGGGCTGATTTCTCAGTCCCACTGATCATATTTTAGAGATGGTAGGACTCCTTGGATGGTGATCAACTGGTTGCAAGGCCTCTACCTAAACACAGGGCAACACAAACACAGAATAAACGCATAAACACATTAACACTGAACATCCATGCCCTGAGTGGGATTCGAACCCACGATCCCGGCTTCTGAGTGAGCGAAGACAGTGCATCCCTTAGACCGCTTGGCTACTGTGAGGGGCTTATGTTATATTAAGAGAAACAAACGTTTTTCAATAAAAATTGACAAAGCAACTGATTGTAGTAGTACTGGTTACTTGATAGCTTAAGGGCAGTATGTTGAAGATAGAGGAATGAAGATGCGCTTTTCCGAAAATCTCTAAAAAGGAGAGCAACAGCAAAACAACTCTTAATATTTCTTGATGATTTCGTGAAAGAAAAACCATAAAGTGGTCAGATTGCGTTGGAGTATGCATGGATGCAGCTCGTGTAATGGCAAGAAATAAAGAGGAACTGCAGGCCTTAATTAAATGAACGGAACCAGAAGCTATGTGGACATTCTGCATGATACACGGTGAATCACTGGCTAATTATGCCCAGAGCTAAAAGAAGTGCAGGATACAGTCATCAAAATTGTAAACTAAAGACTCGTTCCCTGACAATCAGACCTTTTGCAGAATTATGTAAGACAATCGGGGGACAGTGCCAGTCATTCCTGTTGTACTGCAATTCCCACTGGCTGTCAAGAGGAAAAGCTATTAGATCTGTTTACAACTTGCATGGAGGAGTAGCACTGTGTTTAGAAGAGAAAACCCTACGTACTATATGCTGAACACTTTCGCAATGACTATTCAGTTTCTAAGTTAACCTCCTTATTTATCCTAGTTACAAGCATGTGCATGCTCTATCACAATTTTTACGTATTTTATGGTTTCTTGTTATCTCCCGCTGAACTAGCCTAGTCTTATATGTCGAAATAGCTGGGTAAATCTGACAGGAGTTGTCCAGTGACTGAGATTAGCTCTTTCTATGGGGCACAACTGAGTAGGTGTCTTCCTTCCTCACCTGAGGACAGAAACAGATCCCGTTTCCAGAACGTTGTCCCCTCTATTACGTAGAATTCTGGATGATGGAAAAGGTCCAAAAACCCAGGAATTCTGTGTGTCATCCATCATCATCAAAACCCTTTAAAATCTAATCCTCCCTCCTTTCGCAACATCCTACTTGTACGAGACTGGACTTTCAGCAGAGGCAGCTATCAAAACAAAGTACCGTTCGATGATGAACTTGCAAACCTTCAGTACTTCAAACTCGGTATGATAAGCTATGTTCAAAGATACAACTACATCCATCCCACTAATCCAGGTATGAAGCATCCTTTAAATTTAGTGCACTGAATAATATGTAGGTACAAGTAAGTCAATAAGTAAGTTACAAATGGATATAGAACTTAAACAAATAAGAGTAATAATTTGAAAAATACTTTTATTTCTCAACATAATCTCCCTGTACATTGAGGCACTTGTCCCATCTTTTCATAAGCCCCTGAAAACCAGCAGCATAAAATTCTTTGGGCTGCTGTCGGAACCAGGCAGTGACTGGGATCACGAAGGCATACTGCTCACTGCATTCCAGCCTCAACGACAAACCGTAAATGCTGACTCCTACGGTAACATCCCCAGGAAACTTCATAAGGCCATTCAACGGAAGCAACCAGGACTCCTCACCAAAGGTGTGTTGCTCTTGCATGACAACGCGCATCCCCATATTGCCAACAAGACAAATGAGACGTTGAGAAATTTCAAGTGGGAAGTCCTCGAGCATCCTCCATATAGCCCCGACCTTGCTCCAAGCAACTTCTATTTGTTCGACCCTCTTAAACATCACCTTTCGGCTGAATATTTTCCCAATGATGAAGCCGTAGAAAGGGAAGTCACCGCCTGTTTCCGACAGCAGCCCAAAGAATTTTGTGCTTCTGGTTTTCAGGGGCTTGTGAAACGATGGGACAAGTGCCTTAATGTACAGAGAGATTATGTTGAGAAATAAAAGCATTTTTTAAATCAGTACTCTTATTTGTTCAAGTTCTACATCCATTCGTAACTTACTTATTGACTTACCCTCGTATATAGTAAACAATAAAAAATGTATACTCATGGATAAATGTGATGTAGAATCTGTTTTCACTTGTTCTGGAAGTGGGGCTTGAATTTATAAAATGTTAAGGGGGATGTAACTTATAAAAAATTGGGAACCTCTGATTTAGGCAATACTTGGTCAGACAGATCAACAGACATGAACTTTACATGAGGCGTTCTTTTCTACTTTTAAAATAATGCAAAAAAAAAAAAGAGACTGTTAGATACTAGAGGCAATACTTGGTCAGACAGATCAACAGACATGAACTTTACATGAGGCGTTCTTTTCTACTTTTAAAATAATGCAAAAAAAAAAAAAAGACTGTTAGATACTAGGAAGGTTGGTCAGAAGCAGACACAGAGAAATTTAAATGCATGCTTATGTCTCATCACCTGACCAAATCATAACACAAAGACAGCTACCAGACCCTTAGAAAATGTGGCAATGTTTAGATGTTTGGGGATGACAGTAACAAACCAAAATTGCATTGTTAAACTACAAAGAAAAGAATTAAACACAAATTAGCTCAAAATGTTTTGTCTTTCTGTCTCCTATCTGAAAACGTAGATAACAAAACAAGCAGAACTACTGTTTCACCCCATGTCTTGCACGGGTTTGGAACTTGGTTTGCCACCCCCTGACGACAAACATATATTATGGCTGTCAACATAGACAATTACCTGAAGGGCCTCCGCCTCATCCCGTCGTTCATCCTCTGTGTTCATGGTGACGAACCTGAGAACGAGCAGGTTCAGTGAAGCGGCCACTATTGCCAAACCAAACAGGATGAAGATGAGCGCAAATGCCACGTATTCCGGCTTAGTCTCCAGCGCGCTATCTTTCTGCAGTGCTACCATATCACCAAAGCCGATCGTGGTTAGCGTGATGAAACAGTAGTAGACGGAGTCGAAGTAGGTCCAACCCTCGTAACGGCTGAAGGCAGCTGCACCCCCAGCGATGGTGAGGCTGCTGAGAGTGGTCACCACGCAGATCAGGTTAATCTCAGACGCCTGGATGTCCTTGCATCGTAGAAGGCGCTTCACGTTCCGTATCACCACCGATGAGAACTTATTGAGGCGCTCTCCGATGCTCTGGAACATCACCAGTCCCAAGGGGATACCCACAATGGCGTAGCACATGGTGAACAACTTCCCGCCCACCGTGTTGGGAGTCGAGTGTCCATAACCTGCAGAACAGGTGTTCCATATCTTAGCAAGCTGGGATCTGCTGATCGAGTGTTATGCTACAGTTGCTCCCTGTGTGTCCCAGACAGGCATCAAAGGACGCCTTACAGCCTGGATAATTTTAATCGGCTGAAAAATTATAGTTCCATATTTATTCAGGTTTCGTAGGCTCTGTCATAGGAATTAGACTGGTAGGACAGGTCTCTCGTATTCTCTTGTACTTTAATATTAAACTCATCTTCCATTTCTCACCTATTCTTCAACGAAAGAAGGCTCTTATGACCGACAAACTTTCGCTCAAAGAGCCGCTAACCTCAAATTCTATATCTAGGCCCGTATTACTAACTTTATTCAACGCAACAGCCCACACAACATAGCGAAAGTTACATCAGACGTGGAGTGAATTCCACTCATTTTTCTTAGTGTGGATTTTAGCTTCGCTTTGTTGGCTTCTGAGATTCTCACAGCGGTAACCATGAAGAAAGAACACTGTCTTGTGGTATGCAGCGGTTAACTAACTCTTCAATTCAGAAGATGAATGCATTAAGTTCCTCTGAAATGTCTGTAAAGTGCCGCCGGACTACACAGCGATACATTCCAGCAGTAATATGCCTAATTTTCTTAGGTTAACTTGGATAATGTTATGAATAATTGTTTTAATACATGGGGTGGGATGAGACTGAGTCCATTTGGTACGCCGGCCACTAGTGGGCCTACTGTACTAGCTCCGAATGGTAAATGATTGTGGAACAATCGGTCGAATGTGAATTGGCAGGGGAAACCGAAGCATTCGGAGAAAACCTGCCCCAGTGCCATTTTGTCCACCACAAATCACACATGATCTGACCTGAGATTCAGTCCCGATAGCAGCGACTAACCGCCTGAGCCACAGCACGATCGGCATGAGTAATATCAGTCACTGCATGTGCTTCTATTTCAAAGCCACCGAACGAGAATGTGGTAAACACATTTATCTGTTTATGGCTTATCTGACGAAGCATTCACTCGTACTGTCACTGTACGACCTGTACGACCACCAAACGTTTACGCGAGCCGGATCAACGACTATCTTGAATGAGACTAATCGCGGTTTCCTTCAGTCCCAGGCGAATGCTGGGATAGTATCCAGAAATAGGCCACGGCTGCCTCCTGCCACATCCTTTCCAATTAATCATTCATTAATAAACCTGTTAGTCGATGCTATATATAATCTGAGCCACCGACAGCATCGTACATTACTTTATTTATTTATCTGCTGTTTATTCAAAAGGATAAGCAAATAAACAAAGAAATCTACCCGAAACAAAGAGAGCAGGAAAGAGCTGCGGGCGCCAAGCAAGCGCCCATTGCTGTGGAGGGTTATAACTCCGTGAGATGTGAATGAGCGCCCTCTCGTCGTATTGGCTGCAATTAAGGACCCTGAAGCTCATCAAGAACGCGCCAGAATGCAAATAACAGACATTGCAGAGCTCAAATATAAAACGTGTGGAATTCAGTGCGGTTACTGCGGGGTGATTTGTGGCGATGGTTGTCATAGTAACCTGACGTCACACTCGTTCGGAATACGTTTTCCGTGTAAACAGATGAAAAGCACAATTCTTCTGACATACCGACACCACAATGCGCTGTGTGACAGACGAACTAGCGCTGTGCTGGATTTCTCCTTTTAAACTCCGCAACATCGAAAGAAGCCATAGTGTTGGAAGCCGTTACCAGACAACGAATGGTGAAGACATAGCAGACTGAAAAGATTTAGTGTGTGCTGCAGTGAACTGCAGAGTGTGTGAATTAGCAATAGCGCTATCGTTACATGTAGTTACGTTCTACAAGAGTTCAATAAATCCTATTACCAATCCAACCCCGTCTATCGTCACACTCTAACACGTGACAATATATATGTCATTTTCATGTATGATGACTGCAGTCTTCTGGGATGTGAAGTTGTGTGAATTGGTAAGAAGGTTATCAACGTTTCAGCGAAAAAATACATACTACTTCAAATTTCAAAGTGGACGTTCTACGTTTAGAAAGGAAGGAAAGAGATAAAGTTATAAGGAAGGAAGACGCAGAGGGACGAAGATACGGAAGAAATCTAAAAAAAAAAAACCCTCCGTGGCTTTAGTCCGCATGCGAACTACAAGGTGGCAATAAAGAAACCGGATTACTTTTATGACTCATTTCCGGAACGTCGATGACGAAGAGGAGGGTAGGGCATTGACCCGTGGACTTCTCTCTACCGTCACACAAAGTTTCATTCGCGCGCATCGGTTAGTCTGGCCGCGACCATTGTTAGAAGCGGATCGTGTGTCTGAGCTCCGTTGGAATAATGCCGAGTGCTAATGTAGAACAACGTGTTAACATCAAATTCCTCACAAAACTTGGAAAATCTGCCACTGAAACTTACAATTTGTTGACAGAAGTATATGGTGATCA